CAGCACTCAATAGCAGTAATGTCAATCAATCAGCACTCAGTAGCTGTAATGCCAACCCATCAGCACTCAGTAGGTAATGTCAACCCATCAGCACTCAGTAGCTGTAATGTCAACCCATCAGCACTCAGTAAGTAATGTCAACCCATCAGCACTCAGTAGCAATGATGCCAATCAATCAGCACTCAATAGCAGTAATGCTAACCAATCAGCACTCAGAAGAACACTATCGTCCTGCCCAAAACCCGTTTGCTGTAGAATGAAGTAAATAGACAGGTAAGTCTTCTTTGCTTTCTTAGTGAAATACATCCTTCTACTTTCCAATTTTGAAGGAAGGTTCTGGACATGTGGTTAGAAACTATTTTAACGTTTCATTTCTAGCTGTTTGGTTCCATTCACTCCTTCTTTGAGGACCTGCTCTCACACTCAGGTTTTTGATATATAGGGGGAAATATGAAGTGGCCAGACTCTGTGGAATTCCCCTTCAATTGCCTGTTGTAGGATTTTGTGTTTTTATTCGACTCACAGTCACAGAGCTGGCAAAGTCAGCAAATAAAAAATGATCACAATTTGACAGAATACTTTTTTTTTTTTGCAAAATACAGTTCAGTGAAATTGCCAAACTCTGCAGGGAAATAAACTAGCCAAACTTAGAACTAGGTCAGTTGTCCTCAGTTAACTCAGTAATGGCTTATGTACACAATCTAAATAATTTTTACAATAATATATGTTTAACAATTTTATACATCATGCTGACTTCTGGGAAACATTAACAACAATTGTTGTATGGCTACTGTAATATCAGTGCAACAGTATTATAATAATACATTGAAACATACAGTTTCATCAGCTAGACGCACCTTTAAACCTAGAACTCCCAAATGATCTGAATGCATGCTGGACGAATCACACTTCTCTATCTTTCAGTCTGATGGTCGAGTTTGGCGAATGGCAGGAGAACGTTACCTGCCCAACTGTATTGTGTCAACTGTAAAGTTTGGTGGAGGAGGGATGATGCTATGGGGTTGTTTCCAGGTGTTGACCTAGAACCCTTAGTTCCAGTGTAGGGAAATCTTAATGCTTCAGCATAAGACATTTTGGACAATTGTATGCTTCCAACTTTGTGGGAACAGTTTGGGGAAGAACCTTTTCTGTTCCAGCATGACTGAGCCCCAGTGCACAAAGCAAGGTCCATAAAGGCCTGGCTGGGTGAGTTTGGTGTGGAGAACTTGACTGGCCTGCACAGAGCCCTGACCTCAACCCCACAGAACACCTTTGGGATGAACTAGAACGGAGATTGTGAGCCAGGCCCTCTCGTCCAACATCAGTGTCTGACCTCACAAATGCTCTTTTGGATGAATGGGCAAAAAATTCCACAGACACTCTCCAAGATCTTGTAGAAAGAATCCCAGAAGAGTGGGAGATGTTATAGCTGCAAAGGGGGACCAACTCCATATTAATGCCTATGGATTTAGAATGGGACATCATAAAAGCTCCTGTAGGTGTGATGTGTAGGTGTCCCAATACTTTTGTCCACACCGTGTATTTTGATGTTAATAGTGGCAGGATTTTATGGGCGTTAGCACTGATTTTAAGGGGGGAATTCCACCACTTTCTCCACAGGTTATTAGTTAAAATGTAAATAAAGTCATTTAGAGTGGTTTGGTGTGAAATGTTCTGTTCTGGCGAAGCAGAGTCAGAATTGTTTACAGTGGTGGTGGTAGGAACCAGACGTCTAAAGAGCTGAATGCCTCTAAAAGCTCTCTCACAGAACGTTATTACATGAAATGGTTATGAATACACTGCCTCATGCCCAACACTTCCTCCTCTGATAGTTTTGAGTTAAACCTTTGAGCTACAGTGTACTTTCTGAAACCCACTAATGGTGAGGAGATACATGCAGGGGCTTATAAGGAAAGGCAGTCCTCAAAGAAACTTTTTGGGGTCAGATTTACCACCATTTTACAATCATCAACATTACACATAAAAACTCAGAGGACTCGTGTAGGTTCGCTGGTGGTTTTGGATAGTAAATAAAATGGCTATATTTGTGCTGTAAGTTTCGGAACCCATGGTTTCTTTCACCACCACTGTAAAGATATCTGTACTTTGTTTACATCTCAATAAATTGAAAATCGGTGGAATTCCCCTTTAAAGCTGTACGTTCTAAAAACTTTACTCTGGACTGGAGTTGCACCGAAGTGCGCTGCTGCTCTCTGCTGGACCAAGGAGGTACTACAAGCTCCACAAAGCGGTTCTGACCGCTCACCACTTTGAGTGTTTTAGTAGAGTTTTACACAGACTTTTATATGGTGTATATATATATATATATATATATATATATATATATATATATATAATATATATATATATATATGCGCGGGGGCATCACTGGCACACAGCTCCCTGCCATCAGCATTCATATATATATATATATATATATATATATATATATATATGTATATATATATATATATATATATATATATATATATATATATATATATATAGTAATATGTCATATGTATGCCTGTTATTTCACATTTGCACTGTCTGTTTTGCACTATTGCTACTGTTTGCATTTCTGGTAGATGCTAACTGCGTTTCATTGTATTTGTACTGAGCAATGATAAAACTAAATCTAGCATCTCTTACTCATGTCTGCTGTGTTGCAGTACCACACTTTCACCAGCAGATGGTGGCATTGAAAAATAAACCACAGAATGAATCTATGTTTGAAAGTTGAAAAGTGAAGTCTGTTAACTCGCCTAAAGGTTATTTCTTATAACACAGATTTTTCCAATACTACTCTGGACTCAGAGGTGAACATTTTTTACTGCCTATAATGCAAAAATGCAGTCCTGTAATTCTTTGTGGTACATTTCTAGGCTGTTGTCCTACTGTGTTTTCTGTCTATTTCTTGATAACTGTGCTGAAAGGTGCTGTATAAATAGAAATATTTTCATTATTATTATTATTATTATTATTATTATTATTATTATTGGTAGTGGTATTAGTAGTATTGTAAGGCACTGCATTTCATTTTATTCATTTTATTAATTTTAGATATTTTTCTCTCCATTGCAGGGGCACTTGGAAGGGCATCTAAGAGGGCACTTTATGAGTTTTTTCATCAGACCGGCAGCTGTAGGGAATGTCAGGCTTATCCCATTGTGACACACCTGTATGGCACCAAATTACATTTTTCCACTGAAGGGGCATCAATTAGGAAACTTCCCTACATTCTCACACATGTAGCCACAACTTTTACAGCGCTGCATCACATTTTATACTCTGGAGGGGCACTTCTCCATTAGAGGAGCACCTAACTGGGCACTTCATCATGTTTTCTCACCTGTAGGAGTTCTCTACACAGCACTGCACACCATTTTCTCTACACTGTATTCTCACATTTTGTTTTAACTCAAGTAAATTAAGTCTGTCTTGCATAAAACTGAATATATCCCATGTATTAGTCAACTGTTTTCAGTTAAGGGAACGTTTTTGATGATTTGTTATACTCAAATGACATTTTTGAGATGAATCACCTTGTTACAACTTAGTCTAGCTTTGAAACTGCCACATTAAAACATGGAACTGCACTGCTGATGGTTTTAATGATTTCTCATTAAAGTTACTCTACTAATGTGTACGACTGAGTGAAACTCAGTAAACTATGTCGTTTAAGTGAAATACAGTGGCATGTTTGTTTCGTTAGCATGATCTTGTTGGGTAAAGCTTATTTCTTTCTAATTGGTTCTTGGCTCCATCTGTGTGTATCCTGGGTGTTTCTTTCTGTTTGTTTTACTCACCATCAACATGTGTTCATTCCACCCAGGCCACCTTTTCCTCAGGCGTATGCTTTTCGTATATGCTTTGCTCAGCCGTCTGACCTTGTGTTGTTGGCCAAAAGAGTGAATTATCGTTCTCTTTGCTGAGTGCTGGCAGGTGATCACGTTTACAGTAAGGGTTAATCCTTCAATGTTTGGCTAAGAGGTCAAAATCATTTAATCAGAAAGTTTCTTAATTACCTGATGAAATGTGTAATTAAACTGGGGCTTTAGGTTTGACTAACTCAAAACGTTGAATTGAAATAATTAGAAATTACGTTAATCTAATGTATAGAGCACAGCATCACGTTTTCTCCACTAAAAGTGCACTCATTAAAACACGTTATCAAATTTTCTTGTTCTAGAGGGCACGTGATCATAATTTTGGCATGACGGGGCACCCAAGAGGGCACTTCCTCTCATTTTTGCCACTCTAGAAGGCGTTTTAGTGATGCTTTTTCAGAAATGCTTATATTCCCAATGTTTTTCCTTTTGTCGTTTACTTTATACCATCACTGATGGCTGGCTAACGTTAAATAAGTGCAATTGATGTGTTTTTTTTTTTTGTTATTTATTATTTAGAAACATATTACAAATTCTTATATGAGGACATAAAGGAGATATCACAGGGAAGAAGAGCGGTACGTCATAGCTATAATGATTTCTGGTAAATCTTTAAGCACTGCAGGGCCATCAGCACTAAACACCTGAATCACATAATCCAGAAATGGTTGCGCAATAAAAAAATCTGGTAATCGGGGCAAATTCAATTTATTAATAATTTTCCATACATTTATACATTGGGTGTTTTTGTCAACTACAGTGTACTACTGTCTCTTGTAAAGACAGTACTTGTTGTTGGTTGGTATAGTGTAGTAGGTAACACCTCTGCCTTCTATGCTGCAGACTAGGGTTCAATTCCTCATGTGGGTAAGCACCCTACACTATATCAATAAGAGTTCTTGTAAAAAAAGGTATTATTGTGTTGAAATTGTTTACAAAGCAAAATATTTAATAGAGAAAAAAATGGCATGACAAAAACGTTTTACTACTTTACTATTACGATAGTGGAGCATTCTTGAAAATTTGTCTATGAGCATATTTGTTGGAGAGCATATCAAGAACAAAACTTCAAATAAGTAACCCAAACCCCTTCTTACAGATCTCATTTTGGTAAGTTCTGATAGACTGTGCTCGTTTCGATATTTACACTCTTTCTTTAGTGTTTCCTTCTCAGTCTCATGCTTTTTTCTTGATCGTCATCTTCAGTGAACCCTCAAAAAAAGATCTGATGAAATCCACTACCACGTTCTTTAACTTTGTATCTCCCAATAGCATCGCAATCAAGACATCCACAGCCCAGCAGACCAGCTCCTTAAGCAACTGCCAAAGCCCAGCACAGAGTTTCTGTTTCGTGTCAGGTGTTAGCCCCTTGAGGACGTCGGTTAGACATTTAGAACTCTTGCTGAAGCAAATTCCCAACACAGCTCCGGCAGCAACACCTAACAATTTAAAGACACAGCTAAGTTCAGGCTTCTAATGAGATCAACTGATTTTATACACCAACACAAACATGCAGCAGAAGATTATATTACATACCTGCCACCAATCCACAAGGGCCACCGAGAACCACCCCAACAGCAGCGCAGGCCCCGCTGATGACTGTTCCCTTTGTAATGTTTGTTTCTACCTCCAATTCTTCCTTTGCTACCAAGGTGTATAAGATTTGCATGATTTCATTCGTGAATGATGCCATTGTCCTACCTGAGAAAACAGGGTCATGTTAAATTACACATACTATCCCTCAACTGCAATTAGTTAGGAATTAATACAGCTGCTTCAGTATGACACAGTGGTATTTTCACTGTCAAAGTACTGTTAAATGACCATTTGTTTGCTTAACGGTATTTACAGAAACAGAATGTATTCACAAAAACAATCATCTTTATTTCACAGCCATCTGCATTCATTTTAATGGTTGCTACTGTTAACATTATGGTAAAATACTGTATGTCAGAACATGTCAGTGAATATGTCTGTTGAATTAAATTAGGCAGCATTTTTAAGAAATTAAATGACTGTAATTTTTTACAGATTTTTGCCATCATTGAGAAAATACACTTTTACTGTTAATTAACAGGTTTTGTCCCACAGCACTGCTTTTGGACTTTTCCTTTTTTTGCTTTACAGTGTATCACTGGACAGCTCAGTGTACTTGGAGGAGATCACCAACTGCTCTTTACCTAATCTGTTTGGTAACCCATGTATTCTTACCTGTGGATTACTAGCGGTCGCTGGGAATAAAACTCTAGCAGTGATCAGCTCTGCACTTGCTGAAACAGCCACTTGATGTAAGTGCTCACCTGTACATTTCAAATAATATGATCACTCAAATTACAATTCTTTTTACATAAAAAGACTGATGTCTGAATGTACTGTAATGTCTCATAAAGATGTTCTTACCTTTACTGGCTCTCGGTCTGTGAAGAAGAGTCCTGTATCAGAGAGCTTTTAACTTTAATTGGAACCTTCTCTTTCAGGTTAAGGGTGCTGTACAACTAGTCCAATAAGTACACATGAAGAGGCGGGCTTAATGTGTGCTTATTTGGATTGTGGAGAACAGCAAACACCTTAAATCCTGACACATTTTAGCAAACACACACATGCCACGGTGAAGAGCGGGCATTTGACCCACTGCTTTTCAGAGCACTGGTGCATTTAAAAAAGTGATTTTTGGCCATCATAAACATTAAGCAAATATTTTACATAAAACTTAACATAAAAAAATATATATACTTTACTTATTTATATTTATTAGAAGCAACCCAATTTGGATAAATCCAAAACTGATTTAATTGAATTGTATAAGACCCATTAGATTTTTCCACTAAATGTGATTAGGAGGCAGTGCGCATGTGCAATAGTAACGGGAAATGCATCATCAACTAGGAAATTGCTTCAGCTGGCATGGTGGACATTAAATGGCTCTTTTTATTTTTACAATCTGCTGCCATCTTCTGTGTTTTTAATGTTTTTGAACATATTAATGTTTCATTTTGCTTATTTTGAGAGAGGCTCTAGACAACACCAGTGAACTAGCTAGCTAGCATCCTTGCTGGGTCTGCTGTCATGGTAACGGGTACAAAGGGTAGATTAAATAAACGATGGGAGTGATTTACTGTGAAGCAGTATATAAAGATGTATTCCATTAAGATTCAAATCAGTTCATGGTTTTTGTAACTGTGGGTGACCTCGACATGTTAGCATGGCATGAAGTGACAGATAGCATTAGCTGCTAACTTGCATGATGGTTAGCATGAGAGCTGCACCTCAGTAGGAATGTTGTGCACATAAACATTTGCTTTGATTAGTAGTTCAGTTGAGAGTGAATAGAAATTCTAAAGCAGGAAATTTGATCACAGCTGAAATAAATAAAGTTATGTTTATTTTTTTCACATTAGACTTTAAAGTTTATGTGTCTTGTAATGTGACAAAATACTGTTATATTTGTTTGGACTACAGTAAATGTTTGTGAATTTAACATGTTTTGTCATTTAATGCATTTACACAGTCTAAGTAATTGTGCTGTGCATACAGAAGGTACTATTAAGTCTTTAGAAATACATAAATGTTATGTAAAAAAAACTCTTCAAATCCTACAAGCACTTCTAATTTAAACATTATTTAATTCATTCAGGTTTATTGAACATGATGGAGAAACATAAATTATAATACCAATTTTTTATATTGGATTTATTTATTTAAATTGAATGGAAAATTGAACAAGTGGTATTCTTGAAAATATTATTACAGCCTCACACTTGTTTTAGTCTGTAAGAGTTGACAAGGTCAGCATCTAAATTTATCTGCTTCCCCACTCCTGACCATCCTTCTCTCTTGCTTTCCACCATCACTCCACAATTATTGTATTTTCCAAGGAGGATTTTTTTTCTGTTGGCTGTTTCTTCCACCATCACCTCTTGTTCTTGTTTGCAATTTTTTTAAACACTCTGTTTGATTCCCGCACCCCATTTTGCTCCTCTGAGCATAACAACTTAATAACGCAAATAACGGTTAACACAAATTCAAAATGCATCTTGTGTTATTTATGGTAGGGGGTAAAATGTAAAGTAGCTTACATAAAAAAATAACATTGGGCCTCATTTACCAATATCCTCCTAGGTTTGTTCTTAAATTTATTCTTGAGAAAGATCCTTAGAAACAGTCTACATCAGATTCATGGCGTGTATTTAAACCGCGCCTTTGTTCTCTGTGTGTGTGTAGATTCTGTTCTTTCCCAAGAACAAATCCCAAATAAGAAAATGCTGGTGAATGTCAGAATCTTCGTACAAACTGCGTAGGTGGGTTTTAAGAAGCAATTTCTTCTTACCAGCAATGAATGAGGTAAATGAGGCCCAATGAAGATTTCCTCAAGAAAATATTTAAAAGCTTACCTTCAGAGAATATTTGGGAACTTCTTACGTTTTTCTCTAGAACTTACATTCTATTTAATCTGAAGAGTCCTCTTGCATGATTTTTTTAATAATGCAAAGAGTTCTTTGAGTGTTCATGGCTCTATATAGAACCTAACCAGAGAATCTTTGAAGAACCATCTTTCACTTGTTTAAACAGTCCATAGGTTTATCAGCAATCTACACTGTCCAGATAATGTAATCACTCCATTTAGAGTTCTTTTAACATAAAAAGTGTTCTTACTTTTATAGGCTCTTGATCTTATGTGTGATTGAACCGGATTCTCATATCAGAGAGCTTGACTGCAACTGGAATCAGTCTTCCAATGTGAAGGAGCTGCCCAGCCTATCAAATAAGCACATGCAATCATATGCAACGGTGAGTGAAAATACGTTAACACACCCTCTACAAAGAACACATGGCTGCACATTCAGTGGACAATAGACGTTTATTTGCTCAATTTAACACACTGAAAAAAGTGGCCTGTGCAAAAGTACAAATTAGGCACATTTTATATTTTTACTTTTTTACCAGCATTTAATTAGTGTATTAAAATATGCTAAAAATGCCATATTCAAGTTTGTAGAGGACATGTCAACTTATCTGTAATGTCTAGTTTTCAGTCAATGATTGGGGGTGTTCAAACTTTTGCTGTATGTAGGACTGTATGTAGAGGTGGATTTATAGGTCTTACATGTTTAGCTGTGTTGACTTTCATTGACAGTCCATTGAAAACTGCATAAATCTGATCACATTGGTGTGATTTCTGCATTAAATATGAAAGAAAATCATGAAATCATTCATAATTCTTCATACAGCAGTAATAAGCTATATTAGGGGTGATAAGTGTGACTCTTTTTGACTGTTTGTTGATCAGTTCTATATTATTCTATAGTATATAATACAGCACAATGAGGATAATGTTAAAGTCTTGTGGATATGCAAGGCTTGATAAAGATGATACCTCATAAGTCAGTTGTCCTGCATATTAAACACACACATGGCAGCCAAGCTACAACCATTGGTACCCTTTAACAATAATGCTTGCTTCTGGCTGTGCATAAAGAAAACACACAAAAGAAAAAGCTTCTGTCATCGTCAGAGCCTTTCTTACTTGATATAATAAACATATTTGGCCACTTATGCTGTAAACAATTGTAGTCAATTGTGCAATGTGTACTCCATTAAGGTGGAGTCTTAATTCTGTGAAGCCAGCAGTTTTCAAGTACACTGAAACCAAAAGTGTGCTGGATGAAACTGGGTTTAGACATACAGTCTCCTCTGAAAACATTGCAAAGTCTTTTGTTTTTTTCTACATAGAGGAGATATTTGGATTTGGCATTAAAAGATGAATATGGGATGATATATCAGAGTATATTCAGCTTTTACTTCCTGATATTTATATATGACATCTAGATATATTAAACAAGTCACAACATGACACCTCTTGTTTGAACCCACCCGTTTTTCAAGTGAGCAAAAATATTGGACTGACAGATGTTTCTTGTTGCCCAGGTGTGCCCTGTCAGATTGATCATGCAGCAAGACAATGAGGCAAAACACACTGCCAACACCACAAAGGACTTCATCAGCGGAAAACGAGGAAGGTTTCAGACTTGCCAAGTTAATTGCCAGACCTAAACCCAGTGGAGTAGCAGTCCACCAACCTAAAGAGAAGACTGAAGTGAAAACCCCTAAAAACCAACAACAGAAAGAAGCTGCACTGAAAGCCTGGAAAGGATGCTGATGTCAGTGGGTTGCAGGCTTGATGCCGTTAATACAAGCTAGGGGTATGCAGCCAACTGTTAAGTGTTATTTACTTAAATACTATGTGTTCCTGTCCTTATTAGCCATATTTTAAGTTAACATCTATGTGTAAATATCAGGCAATAAGATCTTAAATTCTGATCTATCATCTCATATTCATCTGTTGGTCTCAAACCCAAATGTCTTCAGTATATAGCAAAAAAAGAAGGTCATATTTGGCCAGTTAGGTTGTAAAAACTTTGTAGCAAATTAAACATGCCACATGTAAAGGTGAAGTCTTACTTCTGTTAATCCAACAGTTTTCAAGTACACTGAAACCGAAAGTGTGCTGGATGAAACTGGGTGTAGACATACAGACACTTCTGAAAGTAAAGCATGACAAGGCCAATTATTTTGTTGTTACACTGTGGACATTTACCATGCTATACATGAAAAGATTTCCTGATATTACATCTAGATGGTTTAAACAACTCGGAACATGACACCTTTTGTTTGAATCCACCCATTTTTCACATGAGCAAAAATGTCAGAACATGTGACTGGCAGGTGTTTCTTGTTGGCCAGGTAAGCCATGTTATATTGATTGATAAAACAATTAATTACTCTGAATGTCTAATCTTGGTTTGAGGGTTCAACCTGTGAAGACTGAATTTATTGTTAAAAAGGATAAACCAACATGACTACCAGAGACCTGTCTATGGGGGAAAGGCAAGCCAGGAGTGCAGAAATATAGAGGCCAAACCATGAGATGCAAACCACTCATCGACAGTAAGAATCAGAAGGCCAGACTGGAATTTGCAAAGAAATACAGAGATGAGCCACTAAAGTTCTGGAATGGAGTTTTATGTACTGATGAGACTAAAAGATTGAACTCTACCAAAGTAGAGGCCAAAGTGTGGAGAATGAAAGCACTCGTGATCCAAAACATACATGATCATCTGTCATGGAGGTAGCGCTATGGCTTTGGCTTGCATAGCTGCTTCTGGAAGGGGCTCACTAACCTTTATTAATTATGTAACTCATGATGGTAGCAGCAAAATGAAAGCAGAATACAGAAACATTCTGTCTGCCGATCTACAGAGAAATGCATCAAGTCTAATCAAGAGGAACTTCATCATGCAGCAAGACAATGACCCAAAACACACTGCCATCACAACAAAGGACCTCAGCGGAAAAACGTGGAAGGTTTTAGACTTGCCAAGTTAATCGCCGGACCTAAACCCAGTTGAGCAGCAATTCAACTCCTTTAGAGGAGACTAAAGGGAGAAACCCCCTCCCCCAAAACAAACAACAAGAGAAAGAAGCTGTGGAAAAAGCCTGGAAAAGCTTCGCAAAAGAATAATGCAACAGTTTGGTGATAACAGTGGGTTGTAGGCTTTATGCAGTTATTGAAAGCAAGGAATAAGCAGACAAATATGAAGTATTATTTACTTTAACTTAGTTAAAAACTATTTGTTCTTGTTTTTTTGTTACTAAAATTTGTCACCATAGGTGCCATATGTTAAGTGTTTAACACATTATGTGTAAATATCAATAAATAAGAGCTGAAATTCTGATCTATCATCTCATATTCATCTGTTGATCTCAAACCCAAATGTCTTCAGTGTATAGCAGAAAAAATGGTCTTATTTGGCCAGTAATTTTCTAGCAAATTAAACATACCACGTGTACAGGTGGAGTCTTACTTCTGTGAATCCATCAGTTTCCAAGTACACTGATACTGAAAGTGTGCTGGATAAAACTGGGTGTATACAGTCTCTTCTGGAAAGATTGCCTGGCAAGGCCAATTCTTTGACAGGTGTTTCTTGTTGCCCAGGTGTGCCCTGTTAGAGTGATTGTCTTCAGTGAGTAGCAAAAACAAAAGAATTGGCAGTGCCGTGAAACACTTTCAGAACAGTAAGTTAAAAAAAAAACAACAACAAAAAAACATATTTCATTTTCATATTTCACACTGATGTTTATGACACGTCTGAGATATATTAATCACAAAGGAAATTCATGATTCTTTGTTTTATTTTCCCCCTTCATTAATTCTTAATACACCGTCAGTGTGTGGAGAGAGGGGAGATACAACATTCCTTCTTTTGCCTGTAACATCAGCAGCTGCGGATGAAAAGGTGCATATTGTTCACTTTGATAGATTACAGTCATATGCAATAGTTTGAACACCACTAGTCAAATTACATTGTGTTGATTTAACACCTCTACAAAAAATAAACAAGGACTATAGGTAAGTGAAGGTCTGGAAGGTCAGTTCAGTCCTTTGATTTATCAGATATGAAGGCTGCGTTTTGGGCTGCATTCGAAGGATCGAAGAAGCTCTGTGGGTAGTGGTTGATCAGAAATGTTTTAAGGCTCTCAACTGAGAAGGAAACTGCCTAAAGAGAGAGAGAGAGACCAGGGTATGAGGGGTCAACCAGTATTATCCCCACTCTTTTCTTATTCCTCAATGACTACAGGTCTTGAAATATGCAGCCAAAGATTTTCTCTACACACAATACAGGTTGCGGTGGCTTTTGCTTGGTGAGTGAAGATGCAGAGCCAAAGTAGACAGAGATGGAAGATCCTATTGCTGATGGTTTTGGCAAAACTGTATCAGTAGTGCTTGAGGCAGCCCGAATTTCTTGAGCTGTTGCAGGAAACGCAGGCATAACTGCATGATGTATTTGTCTTATTTGAGGTCCTGCTGAATGATTATATTCAGGAATTCATTAGAACCTGCTCTGTGGAGCTCTAGTCTCTCCAGTGGAGAGACTGGTTTGGATATCCTTCTGAAAACAAAGCTTTTCTACACCGTTTTGGAGGATTTTTTTTGTGTTTGTTAGCTTTACATCATGAGATCAGGTTCTTACTTTCCCCCAGAATGTTGTTCAAGATGGGACCAACTACGATGGTGTCATCTGCAAACTTTTGGCGTATACCACTTAAAAATGCACAGTGATATGTATCTCTGGCCTTGGCTATCATCGGTATGTCCCATCTTGTCAAGCTGACTGACAAACTGAAAGCTTTAATGTGCTCTATAAGTGAGATCCTAGCTAATCTGCTCCCAGGACAGACTGTCCAGTCATAGCTTGTCAATGGTAACCAGGCCCATGCATTTAGATTAAAACACTTAACGTTACAAATAACATTTTTTTACTCGGCTTGGATTTTAAGGCCCTGCTGGACTGCAGGAGCATGATGCTGGGCTTGGAGGCAGTACAGGTGCAGAGGGTTGCCGCAGCTAGTGGTGGAGCCGAGGCAGAGGGTCAGGGCAGCGTATGCAAGCAGTACCCTAGCCTGCGTCAGTGCTGCAGTGGATGAAAGATTGCACTTCTCTCATCACTTTTCCAAAATATCCTGCCCAGTCCTTTCTCTGCCATCCACTGCAGCACTGACGCTGGCTAGGGTACTGCTTGCATACGCTGCCCTGACCCTCTGCCTCGGCTCCACCACTAGCTGCGGCAACCCTCTGCACCTGTACTGACTCCAAGCCCAGCATCACTTTCCTGCAGTCCAGCAGGGCCTCAAAATCCAAGCCAAGTATGCACACATCCCATATGGGTGGCAAGGAGCATGCCTGGTCATAGCATGGATATTGACGAGCCTGTGTTGACAAGCATGGTGAGATCCCTGCCATTTATGCTTCACTCAACCCAAAGTGTGCAGCGGCCATCGATCCTCCAGGCTGTGTTGCTTGCCACAACACTTCCAACAGCTGCTTTTAGGCCGGCCGATACGCCAAGCTGCACATGCCATCTCAGCTCCTCGTCCTGTGCAGTCTTTTTGAATGCTGGGTATGCCTGCCAAACCATTGTACTCAGTTCTGCCACCAGCATGCTTATCTGATTTCTTTTGATAATATTATGCACCGGAGAGGGTAAAATACAAAAAAATCGCAGTTTGTTGAGGAATATTGTTCTTCATCTGTATTCTTCAACTGCATTATTCACTGATGCGTTTTTTTTTTTTGGCAACATGGTGAGCCTCAACCCAGTTTCATGCAGCATACTTTCATTGTTGCTTTATTTGAAAGCCTACGCAACTGAAATGACACACCTATAAACCCGTCTCTTCATATGTGCTTATTTGATTGGTTGAGCAGCTCCTTTAAATTGAAAGGCTGATTCCAGTTGCGGTTGAAAGCTGATACATGAACCTTGTTGACTCACAGATACGATCAAGAGCCTATAAAGGTAAGAATACCTTTGTGAGACCCTACAGAACATGCAGAATTAACAAAATCAGAATTTAGAACAATCTCTTTTATGTTAAAATAATTTTAAATGGAAAGATTATAATATTAGAAAAGTCTAGGCTAACAACTGAGGAGCGTTTCAATAAGTTTCAATAAGGTTATTCAAAGCAATTCACGTTGTTCAGTGAGTCATACTGACCTGGCTTCGTGTGCTATGGACAAAGCACTAACCCTTCCAAACAGGTAACTATTGAGGAGGTGTGATCTACACCAGGAGTTGAAAAAGTGTGAAAATCATTAGTTGAAAATGTGTTAAATGTCAGTTGTGAAAAAAGTGTTTTTATGCTGCATGTGGAATTTCGCATTATCTTGTTTTTGTAGACATGACGATGACATTATGTTCGGATGATATAATGCAGCTGATAAATGACTTGGCAAAAAACGAAAGAGTAAAATTAGTGGTGACCAACGCAGCCAAGGGAGCAGCCATAGTTGGGACCTCCTCTGGTGTTGGAGCGCTTCTTGCTGGCCCTACTGGATTTTGCAGCAGGTATGTTACAATACATTTCACACACAAAAGTAACTCTGGAGGTGCGTATGTAAAGTTGCATACAAAAGTTTGTACATCCTCGGGTAAATGTGCAGTGTGTGTGTAAGGCAAGTGTTTCTTTGCATACAGTAAAACGACTTGAATTCAATGGTCCCCCAAACTTACCTCTATTTGGACTTTTTTAGGTAGTGCTGTGGGAACTGGGTTGGCACTTTGGATGAGTAAGACTTCCGAATCTCTAATTGACGTCCTAAAAGATCTGAAAGCTGAAGAGAGAGAGCAACTGTGTTCTGGAGTCAAGAGTCTGCTTAAGGATTTGGACTTGCCTTCTAAGGATTTTCTGCTAGAGAAAGTTCTTGCAAATGAAAAGTTAAAGAACACAATAATTGATTTCATTTATTCTTTTTTAACACAGAACCATGAACGTCAAGCAAAATCATGAAAATGTGATGCATGCACCTGGGAAACACTGAGCATTGAAACAGAAGCAGTCTGTCAGTAAATAATTCCCTGTTAAATTGATGAGGAAATGCTGATAATTTGGAAAAAAAAAATAGGTACATAGGTTTTGACATATATTACATTAAAAACAATGCAATAGCACATAATTTGATTCTTCGAATCTACACTTATTTCTGTTTTGATTTGATATATACAAGTACACACTGTATCTTCTATATATCTTGCAACACGTTTTAAGGTGTGCAAGAGCATGGGGTCTTCGTTATCACACTTTTAAAATGCGCCACACATTTTCCACTGGGGACAGGTCAGGATCACAGCCAGGCCAGTCCAGCACCCATACCCTTTTCTCCTGCAGTCATGCCTTGATAATGTGTGCAAAAGGTGGTTTTGCATCGTCTTGTTGAAATAATCATGGGCGTCTCTGGAAAAGCTGCTGTCTTAAAGGCAGCATATTTTGCTCCAAATCCCTTTGTATTTTTAGGCATTAATGCTGCCATCACAGGAGTGTACAATACCTTTGCGAAGGGCACTGACACAACCCCATACAATGACAGATCTGCTTTTGGACTTGTGTCTGATAACAGTCTGATTGGTCCATTTTGTCTTTGGTCTGGCACACACAGCATTAGTTGCCTCCAAACAATAAAACAGAAATACTGATTCATCTGACCATGATACACATTTCCACTGTTTAATGGTCCATCCCAGATGCCTCAGAGCCCAGAGAAGTCGACGGTGTTTCTGGACACAGTTAATATAAAGCTTGGTTTGCCAAAGTAATCCTGAGCCTATTGGTTAAATAGCATATACAATAATGACTGTTTTTGATGCTGTTCTGTCTGTGGGATCGGAGAGCACATTATTCAGCTTAGGCTTGTGCCATTGCCCTTTACGCACTG